TAGATTCAAAAACTTTTTAAAAAGTACCTGTGACATTTTAGTATATGTTAAACTAGGGACAGGGACAAGATCTGTGATTTCATTGGTTTGAAGAACTTCCTTTATCATTGTAGTTCAGTACTTTCTCTGAAATTATAGTCTTAGAGCAAGATTTCTTAATTTTTGGCCATCGATAAATACATATTTATTAAGTACCTCCTGTGTTCCAGGCACTGTACTAAGCATTGGGGGCTACAAATGCAAAAAAGAAAGATGTTCTCTGTCCTCAAGGAGCTTACAATCTGATGAAGATAGACAGTACACAAAAAGAAGCTGGAAAGTATGTGAAATGAGGAGATATTCTGAGCTGAGTTCCCTTTTTAAATGGAAGTTTTGGAGTTCCTGTTTCCAACCTTCAATCAGAGAGATTGAGAGTGGTAGGGAAGTGGAATACCATAGTGATGAGGTTTTCCAAGTAAGAAGCTTCCTAGGTCATGGTATCATAGATGTCTTTGGCAGTTTGGTGAAGCCTATAGACTCTTTCTTAGAATAATGTTCTTACATGTCAGTCTATAAATATTTATTCTCCTATGTGCCATGCACTGTGCTAATTACTAGGGATACAAAAGAAGTAAAAGGTCCTGCCCTCAAGGAACTCACAATCAAATGGGGGGGGGGGGGGGCAAGCAATCAAAAATGTAAAAAACAAGCTATATAAAATACATAGGATTACAAAAGCATCCAATTATTTTTAAATACAACTACTAAAATAATTTTTAAAGCAAGTTCATGAAAACTAGGATAAAAACCCCTATCTTAGAGGGTTGCCTAAAGCACTGATCAGTTAACTGACTTGCTCATATTAACATAACTATTATGGCAGGACTTGGACCTGTCTTTCTTGTTATGAGGCCAACTTTCTTTATAGCAAGTTTCTCTGATAAAGGCCTCATTTCTCAAATATATAAAGACCTGAGTCAAATTTATAGAACTAAGAACCATTCCTCAATTGATAAATGATCAAAGAATATGAACAGCCAGTTTTCAGATGAAGAAATCAAAGCTATCTATAGGCATATAAAAAAGAGCTCTAAATCACTTTTGCTTAGAAAAATGCAAATTCAACAACTCTGAGATGCCACCTCACACCTATCAAGATTGGCTAATATGAGAAAACAAGATGATAGATGTTGGAGGGGATGTGAGAAAATTGGGGCACTAATGCATTGTTGGTGAAGTTGTGAACTGATCTAACCATTCTGGAGAGCAATCTGAAACTATACCCAAGGGGCAACCAAACTGTGTATACCTGTTGATCCAACAATAGCACTACTAGATCTGTATCCCAAGGAGATCATAAAAAAGGGAAAAGAACCTCCATGTGCAAAAATATTTATAGCAGCTATTTTCATGGTGGCAAAATATTGGAAATTGAGGGGATACCTATCAATTGGAGAATGACTGAACAAGCTGTGATATAAGAATATAATGGAATACTATTGTACAATAAGAAATATAAATAGGCATATTTCATAAAAACATGGAAAAGCTCCTACTAACTGATGCAAAGTGAAATGAGCAGAACCAGGGAAACATTGTACCCAGTGTCATAAACATTGTGTGTCAATCAACTATGAATGACTCAGCTCTTCTCGGCAACACACTGATCTAAGACTAGTACAAAGGACTCCCAAAGGAAAATGCTATCTATATCCAAATAAAGAACTGATGGATTCTGAATATAAATTGAAGCATATTTTTTCATTCACTTTATTCTTTCTTGTGTTTTTTTTTCCCCTATTGATCTTTTTCTTCATTTACAACTGTGACTATCATGGAAAAATTGCATGATAGCACACATTTCAACTATATCAAACTACGTACCATTTTTAGAAGAGGTGAGGGAAGGAGGGAGAGAGGAAAATTTGGAACTCAAAATCTTGTAAAAATGAATGCTAAAAGTTTTCTTGACATGTAACTAGGGAAAAAATAAAATGCTATTTTAAAGAAAAGAAAAAAAGACCTATTTGTTCAAAAATATTTATAACAGCTCTTTTTGTGGTGGCAAAGAATTGGAAATTAAGGGGATGACCATCAATTGGGGAATGACTGAACAAGTTTTGTCATGACTGTGATGAAAAGACTTACATGAACTGTTACAAAGTGAATTGAGCACAGCAACCGGGAGAACACTGTACACAGTAGCAGCAATATTGTATCAATGATCAATTGTGAATGACTTAGCTATTCCCAGCAGTAGAATGATCTCAGACAATTGTGAAGGAATTAGGATTAAAAATGTTACCCATCTCTAGAAGAAGAACTGATTGAGTCAAAATGCAAATTGAGCATACCTTTTTTGTGGGACTTTTTTTGGGGGGGTGTCTTTTGGTTTTTGTCAGTTACTGGCCTCTTTGCAGATCCTTTAATAGCATACTCTACTTCTCAACTTGTGGCTTTTCAATAACTATCCATCATGCCTAGAAAGCATTTTTCACCCTGCTTACTTCAAAAATCAGCTCAAAAAAGCCAGGAGAACATTGTACACAGTAACAATAATATTGTATGACTATCAAATGTTCTCAGAAATACAGTGATTCAAGACAATTCCAAAGGGCTTATAATGAAAAATGCTATCCACCTCCAGAAAAGGAACTGATAGAGTCTGAATGCAAATTGGAGTATGCTTTTTGTTTTATTTTATTTTTCTTTGCCCTGTTTTCTTTTTTGGAGGGGGGGCAATTGGGGTTAAGTGACTTGCCCAGGGTCACATAGCTAGTAAGTGGCAAGTGTTTGGTCTGAGGCTGGATTTGAACTCAGGTCCTCCTGACTTCAGGGCCGGTGCTCTATCCACTGCTCCCTGTTTTCTTTCACAACAGGACTAATATGGAAATATGTTTTGCATGTTTGCACATGTATAATCTATATCAAATTGCTTGCCTTTTCAAGGAAGGGGGAAAGCCAAGAGGGAGGGAGAGAATTTGGAACTTAGAATTTAAAAAGAAACAAATGTTTAAAAATTGTTTTTTACATGTAATTGGGAAAAATAAAATACCTTAACAATAAATGCCAAAGACTGACAACATTTTCCTATCATATTTTCCCCTCAGAGTTCTCAAAAAAGTCACTAGTTCTAATAGGATATCTTGACTAAAAAAAAAAAAAAATGCTTTGCAAAGCTTGATCTAAGAATTTTCTAAAAGACTCATCTTTGATAATAAATTCTTTTTGCTTGGATTTGGTATACATAAACAAATGAGGAGATGAGTGGGAAAACATGTTTGGAATTTGCCAAAGTACATCTCATTTATCTCATAATCTTTGTCTTGATTCCTAGGTTTTTCAGATGTTTTTTAACTTTGTAAAGTAACTTGTTAGGAATAGAATTTGAGTTTATTTTAAAAGTTTTATAAATTTGAAATTATCCTCTAATTTGGTTTTATTATGGAGTTAACTAGGATAAAACTTAGGAATGGTCTAAATAAGAGAGAGAAAATATTTGGAATGCTAAATAGAGGGCTCATATTTCTAGGAATTTAGGATCATGTTTCACTTTTAATACAACTAAGCATGTCCCTTAAAATTGGCAATTAGTTTAATTTTTATGTAAATATAAAGTAAAAGGGATTTTTAAGCCAATGAAATATTGGTTTGTGAAAATTTAGCAGATGTTCATAGAATGCTTTTTATTGGTATCTGGGATGAAAATCAAAATTATTTGGATTATTTTGTAATTATGATATTAATATAAATAGACAGGTAAGTGTGTAGTTTCAAAGTTTGAGCCATAAACCATATTTAGACTGCTGGTATAAAGTAGCCTGGACACAGATTTTTTTTTATTTGTTAGTGACACATTTATGTCAGAGAATACATAGATTCAATAAAACATGAATGTGTTCAGATTATTAATCTATAGACATATTGAAAGCTCAATACTTCTTAACATAAAAAGTTGTAGTTTGTTTGGGAAGATGACTTGTATGCAATCTATTCGCCACTGGAAGTAAGAGGGTTTTTAAGATTTTTGCAGGGGAACAGAATGTTTAAGAATAAATATGGTTTTTAAAAATTTAAGGAGAGAGAAGATCAAGAGATAGATCAAAATCAATCCATTTTAACAAATTCATGGTTTTTGTTTACTTGATCATCTAAAATTGATTAAGTACTTTTTGACTTTCTTTAGCCTCTTTTATTTAGTTTAATAAACCATGTTGCACTGTTTCAGTGAATCATATCAATTGTGTCCATCAAGTTGATATCAGTGATGTTTTTCTTGAAAAATTGTACTTGTAAATATTATTTTACATGAAATTATATAAAGTGGTGCTACAGATCTTGCCATTTAATTACATATTGCCTTGTACTGTTCTAAAATTGTTTCATGTATGTTTTGCCTCTCTAATTATATTGCAAGTTCTTTGAGGGAAAGAATGAGGTTATATCTATATATTTTTTATTATTCTATACTGTATACTTGGCACAGCATTGGTCAATATGTTCTGAACTGAGTATTTTTTTCTTAAAAAGCTGGAAAAGTAAAGATTCCTTGGTAGAGGTAATTGGTAGTTTTTTTAATCTTAGTTGCCTTTTAATGGTTTTGATTAATTTCTTTTAGTGCAAATATGTGGAGGTAAAAAGGCTTATTTTGTAAAAAATTTAAAAAAAGAGGATGTGTCAGTGAACTAAATCTTTCCCAATTTTATCTATTGAAAAATATGGAACTTATGTAATAACACATAATAACTGAAATTATTTTAATAATACATATGCTAACTGAGCTCATTTTAATAATACATATGCTAACTGAGCTCATTTTAATAATACATATACTAACTGAACTCATTTTAATAATACATATGCTAACTGACCTTTCAGCATTATTTCAATCCTATAGGTTCTTGAATGAAGAAATGCTGTTTTGTAAAAGAGCTAGAAAGAGTAAAATTTTCCTGTGAATATTGAAATGAACTTCTTTATCAATAGGATAATTAATATGTTTTTCTGCTGTTCTTTTGCAGGTTCTTCGAGTAGTTCGACTTATTAAGATTTCTCCTGCTTTAGAAGACTTTGTATACAAAATATTTGGTCCTGGGAAGAAACTTGGGAGTTTGGTTGTGTTCACTGCCAGCCTCTTAATTGTGATGTCAGCAATCAGTTTACAAATGTTCTGCTTTGTAGAAGAATTGGACAGATTCACGACTTTTCCAAGGGTAGGTTAAAAGAAAAAAAAGTAATGGATGCAATGTCTTTCTTTGGTTTTAATACAGAATAGGAATATTAATAAGATACGAAGATACATCTTTAGTTTTGGTAGTGCTCCTGACTATGATGACTTAGGATAATGTGAATTTGATGAAAAATGCTTGCTGTTCAGTGTTGCAGGACATGATTTTAAGCATCTTCTGGTCATTGTAAAATTTGCCTGAATAGTCCTGAATATTTATGGGAGGAATAAATCAGAATGAAATACTGAAATTGAATGAAAATTGAGGCTAACATAGTTAGAGTGGCATGCTCCTAGGAATTAATTCCCTTTAAGATAGAGTAGGCTGGATATATAAGCATTGTTTTCAGTGGCCATTTACATCATTTATGCAGTCTTTCTGCTCCCGGGCCTCAGGCTCTGGTGGCTTACCCATTGCACTGGGGTGACCCTGTCTAGGTTATGCCTATTATGCCAGGGATTTTAGGACTGTCAATTTGCCTTCTGCACTGGGACTGCCCCACAGCTGGCCTGCTGTGCCACTAGCTTGCTGAACCAGGACCAAGGGGCCTCAGTTGCTGATCTGTGTTCTGGCTAAGAGACTTCCATTGGCTTGAGCGGACACCATCTGTGCTGGGCTGTGCTGCCCTTTTACCCAAGTGAGACAGACCTTTCCTAAAGTCCTTCTAACTTATATTAATCCAGGAAATTGTTTCTCTCCTTGTAGCTTCTGTCATTCCAGAATCTGTTTAGAGGCTTGATTTAATGTTATTTCCAAGGGAAACTGGGGAGAGGTCAGGCAACTTCCTGGCTTTTCTCTACCATTTTGGCTCTGCCTCCCCCTACTGTCTTCATTTAATCAGGATAAGGGATCTTTTTTAGAACAACTTAAAATTCTGACTAGACAACTTGAACATAATTATTTGAAGAAAATTCTATTTAAGAAAACCTTTGGCTTTAATCAGACTGTATGTCTGCATGTCATTGTGATTGTTAGTTCTTTAACATAAAATTGTCTTAAGTGCATGAATTTATTTTATTGTGAGAAACACTTTTAGCAAAGATGGTTAGCCACTAAATTGAAGTACCTGGCTATGAATAGAAAAATTTCCTTTTCTGAGTGTCTTTATGCTTTCCCTGAGTGAAGTTGCTCCTATACCTTCTCAATTGTAGATATTATTTTAATGTCTCTGTTACTTTTCTCTTTCCAGTATACTATTCTTTTTATTTAATTTTCATAAGTTAATCTCAGGACATCATTTAATTTTCTGGACTAGATGTAAGATTAGGCTTCTTTTGGAACCAGTTCTCCATAATAACAAAAAGATAAAGCTATTGCTTCCCAAATTCTGAAGTGAATTGTATAGTCAGCAGAGAGAACTGATCTCTATAGAAGGAGGCAAGTTTCCATGACTTCTGATAGTTATACCCTTTTCTCCTTAATTCTCACCTCGGGAGGTTATGGTAAAAATATTTAGCTAGGTGATACAGTAGAAAGAGAAATAGATCTGGAGTCTAGAATACCTGAGTTCACAATCAGCCATAGGGGACAGCTAAGTGGCACAGTGGATAGCACATTGGCCCTGTAGTTAGGAGGACTTGAGTTTAAGTTCATCCTGAGACACATGATGCTTACTAGTTGTGTGACTCTAGGAAAGTCCCTTAACATCAATTGCTTCACCAAAAAAAAAAATCTGCCTCAGGTACTTACTGGCTGTGTGACATTGGTCAAGTCACTACACCTGTTTCAACCTGCTTTCTTTATCTTCTATACACATAGGGATAATAATGGCACCTTCTTCCCAGGGTTTTTGGGAGGATAACATTTTGTATGATAGCATTTTGTAAACCTTAAAGTGTTGTATAAATTATTTATCATCATCATTGCTACTACTACTTCTAACAAAACTGCATTACCACCAATGGTTTTTACATGCATTTGGTGTAATCAAAGAGAATCATACTCCACTTTCCCATTCTGAATTAGGATGGACCTGGAGCCCTGATCTGTTTGGAAAATCTAAATAACTGGAAACTAAGCTAAGAATTTAGGACCCTACCTAGAAAGGAGTGGGGCTAAGATAAGAGTTTTCATTCTTGCAGATCCTAAAAAAGGCACACAAAATAACTGATATCCCAAAAAGCACTCTGTCATTAGTTAAGGCATATGATGCATAGCTGTTTGTTTGAGCTCTCAATTAGCAGCACAAATCCAGGAATGTTCTTTATGGGGTATGATGGTAGACTTCTATTACTTCTTCCATTTCCCTTTTCAAATTAACTGATAGAAATTTACAGTCTGTTCAGTATAACTGATTTTTCTTTTAATTTTCTAGTTTTCCATTATCTTTGGTCTTCCTCCATCTTTTGATTTCATTGTATATATAAAAATAAAATAATTATCTAATTCAATTTTATAGATAAAAATTAAAAGGGAATTAGTACAAATAAGGAAAATAAAATTTTATAACTTTTCTGTCTGGCTTTCATATAAATATTTAAAATGTTTTACTTTCCCCTGTAAAGAATCCAAAACTATACAGTTTATAAATTTTGTATGTTTTTGCCATATGTTCAACTGTATGGCACCTAAAATAATCAAGGGAAAGTTTATGAAAATGCTTTCTTAAAAATCCAGGTATAGTTTATATTAGGAACTGGCTACTTAAGGACATACATTTTAGAAGGAGGAGAGACTTTAAAGGTCTTTAAGTCTAACACCTCATTTTACAAATGAGAAAGCTGAAGCCCTAAAAAATTAAGAGCCCCCTCCAAAAAAGGTCATTGAATTTGCAAATGGCAGAGATGTTTTAGAAAATTTGACTTTCCAAATGCCAGAGCTGTTTTGAACCCCAATGCTCTAACTCTGAATCCAGGATTCTATCTAGTGGTTCATGCTATCTATCATAGAAGTTTATGTGAATTCATTTCAGATTACAGTATGGTAGATATATAACTGAGAGGAGACCCGGAGACCATTCAGTCCAAAACTGAGGCTTGTTGCCTAGCCTAGCGTCTCCATCATACATGTTGTGCTTAAGAATCCTGAATGTGAAACAAGGCAGCATGCATTTGTTCAGTGTCTACTATGTGCCAGTCACTGTGCTAATTTCTGAACATACAAAGAAAGGGAGAAAAATTAGCCCTGCACTCAAGGAACTCACATCTAATGGGTAGAAACAAAATGCAAGAAACTATATACAAACTAGATAAAGAGAGGATAATTTTTTGATTTAATTTATTTTATTCTGAACTGAAGAAATAAAATAAGCATTCCCATAACATAGTAGATTAGAAAAAAAGATGATTGCACATACAACTTGCTATTCCTTTTTTAATATATACTAAAGCTATCATATAACTTTCTTTTTTCCCCTTTTTTCTTCACTCCACCCCTCCCTAGAGATGGCTACCATTAGATAGAAATATCTATATATGTGTATACATATATACTATATATGTATAGTATATATATATAGTGTGTATATATACATATATTTACATATGTACACATATATATGTAAAATCATGCTGTACTTCTGTTTATCAGTTCTTTCTCTGGATGCAGATAATATCTTCTTTCATAAGTCCTTTGTAGTTAATTTGAGTATTTATAACAGTCAAAATTACTTAGTTGTTCAAATTTGTTCTAAATACAATATTTCTGTTACTGTATACAGTATTTTCTTGGTTCTGCTCATTTTGCTCTTCATTACTTCATGTGTCTATCCTTTTTTTTAAGGAAAGATAGGAAAGAAAGAAAAAGAGAATCTGAGAATGACAATAGTGAGGACAAATAGGATGTAAGGAAATACACAAGTAGTAATTATAACTTTGAATGTGAATGGGATAAACTCACTCATAAAATGAAAATGGATATTAGAATGGATTAAAAATCAGAATTTGACAACATGTTGTTTAGAAGAAACACATTTAAAAATAAGAGAAACACACAGAGTTAAAATAAGGGGTTGGAGTAGAGTTTATTATGCTTCAGTTAATGCAAAAACAAAAAAAGCAGGGGTAACAATCCAGTTCTCAGACAAAGTTAAAAGTAAAATAGAATTAATTTAAAAAGATAAACAAGGTAACTACTTTTTGTAAAAGGTGCCATGGACAATGAAACAATATTAGTACTAAGCTTATGTGCACCAAATACAATAGCATCTACATTTTTAAAAGAAAATCTGAATGAATTACAGGTAGAAATAGTAGTACTATAAAAGTGGCAGACTTTAATATTCACCTCTCTGAACTAGATAAATCTGGCCAAAAATAAATAAATAAGAAAGAAGTCAAGGAAGTGAATTGAATTTTAGATAAGCTAAATATAATAAATATCTAGAAAGAGTTGAATGGAAATAGAAAGGAATACAACTTTTTCTCAGTGGCTCGTGGTAACTTTACAAAGATCAACCATATATTAGGACATAAACATTTTGTAATGAAAAGCAGAAATATTAAAAGCAACGCTTTCACCCATACCCTCTGTCTAAGTAGACTCTTTCTAAATACTCTAGTAATTATAATGTTCTGAGGGGTTATATGTGTCATCTTCTGATATGGAAATGTAAAAGTTTAACCTTGTTAAAACCCTTATGATTTCTCACTCATGTTGAACTGTTTATTTTTTTCCTAAGTCTTGTGTTCAAATGTCTTATTTTTCTATTCAGCTCTGTTCTTTTCATGAAAAATGTTTGAAAGTCCACTTAAAAGTCCATTTTTTCCCATATTGGATTATACTCAGTTTTCTTGGGAAGGTTATTCTTGCTTAGAATTCTAGCTCCTTTGCTTTCCAGAAAATCATATTCTAAGTCCTCCTTTCTTTATAGTGTTAGGTGCTAAATCTTGTAAGATGCTAACTATGTCTTGATGGTATTTGAATACTTTCTTTCTGGCTGCTTGCAGTATTTTCTCCTTGACCTGGGAGCTCTGAATTTTGGCTGTAAACTTCCTGAGAGTTTTCATTTTGGGATTTCTTTCAGAATGTGACTGGTAGATTCTTTT